TTGTAGGGAACTTGGCTTTGTGGAGAACAGGGCGAGTGAGTGGGGACTTGCAGGGAAGTGAAGGGGATGCTGCAGGTCTGGTTTATGGATGGCCTCGCCCAGGGGATGTGTCCTACCGCTTACCGGCTCGAGGTAGGTAGTGGCGCTATTCATGCGAGACACACATACAGTACATGCAGGCATGCCACAGACACGGGGCTTCCCACAGGCCGGGGGGCTCCAGAGCCTACCTGGAATGTGGAAATGCTTGGGAGCTTGGTAAGAGGTTGGAGTAGAAGACCTCACATCTAACTGGCTATAGTAGGGGGAGCTGCGCCCACTCTCTGTGCCTGGAAAGTACGGAGCGGAGGAAGCGGCAGTGACCGAGAGAACAGGAGGCAGAAGAAAAGTGGTGTTAAATGCAGCTGTGTTAGAAAGCAGCAAACCGCCAGTGAGCCAATGGCTGCGGTGGAAGTGAAGGTTTTCTATGCACCATCATGAAGGGAGAACTCAGGGAGGCAGAGGTGAATCCACAGGTGCCCACAGTTCATGGGCCTGGCCTGGCCCCATTCCAGGGGAACCAAACCCTGCCTAAGGTCTTTGTCCTTCTTGAGCTAAGGCAGTCTTCTGCCCTCCAGCAAAGGCTGTGCAAAGGGCTTGTTGAAGGGGCAGGACCCTGCTGAGTGATAAATTGGGAAGCTGTGGGGCTGAGGTTTTGCTAGACTCCCTGGCTTTGGGTTTACCTGCCCATCCCCAGCATTCAGGGGATACTGCCCAACTGCACTCCAGTTCCTCACCCCCAACAAGCTAGGCCCAGGCTGTGTGCGTGTGTGTGTGTGTGTGTGTGTGTGTGTGTGTCTTTGCGCATGCATGTATGTGCATGCATGCATGTGGGGAGTTCACTTGCAGCCCATGCATTCTGAAACACCCAGCACTGCTCAAGATACGAACAGAGGAAACAATTTTCCTTCCACCCCTCATTTCTGGCATGGAGCTTTCCTCTGTCACGGGTTTTCCATGGAGATAGGGAGAAGCTTTGAACAAGCTCCTTCTTGAGACAAAATGAAGCTCCCTTAGTCTGCCCCTTTGCCTCTCACCAGAGGAGAATTAGCTGACTTGTGCTGTGCATAAGCATCTCAAGGGAAACGAGTCACCCCATGGCCCTAACGTCCTGACTTTAACTCATCCCTGTGCACAGTCAAGCTTGCCAATGGAACCCATACTGCTGGCAAAGGGATGTACTGAGTTTGTGGAGGCCACAGGGAGAGGCCCATGTGTCCTTGTGACTGTTGTTGTGCTGGTCTCTGCCAGGGGCAGAAGGGATGACCTGAATGTAGTGGTGCCTTTGGTGTCCTTACCTGAGCGGTAGTAGTGAAATGGGGACCGTGGGATGGTGGGGGACATGCCCTGGCGGCTGTAGGTAGGGGAGTCAACATAGCCTGGGCTGGAAGCTCGTCTCTGCCGTATGTCAATGCTTTCATAGATGTCCTAGAAGAGCAAAAGAAGAGGTGAATAACAGGCAAGACCTGCAGGGTCCTAGGGCTAAAACGCAGCAGAAGCAGGACAATGATGGTGTTTAGTGTCTCCTAAAGGGCTGATTGGGTATAGGGGGATGTGCATAGGGACAGAGAGAGAACCAGGTCACTTCACAGTCTTCCTTTTCCTCCAAGGGAATACCTCCCATCCCTTCAGTCATGCAGTATCTGGCAGCAAGGGCACCTCGCATCTCAGCTGGGAGTTGAAAGTCTCTGTCATGTCAAGGGCTGGTGTAGATGTGTCCAAAGACATACGCTCTAACAGACAGAGGATGTGTTGGAATTGCTTGGCTGTGTATTGATTCCCTCTTTCCCAGCAGCACTGCCCCTTCTAAACATGCTAGGTCAAGGCCTGTCTTTGGGAACTGAAAGCTGTGGGGGGTCTGATCCTGGTGCACAGCACGTGTGGGTGGCTGGCAACAGCACTAAGTACAGACATATGGGCTGAGTGGGCGGTGGATAGTGCAAAGCAGCAGATATCCAGCACTTGGAGATACATGCTCAGCTTGTGCCCATGGATGTCCTGCTCTCCCAGCAGGCTGGGAGCTCAAAAGCAATGGCTCCACTGCATTCTTGTGCCTGTCCGCAGTGGAGCCTCTGGGAACAACCAGATTCCCCTGGCCTCCATAGCTGGACTGTTTGAAGAGCTCCCCGTTCAGTCCTCTTGTCATACCATGAAAAAAGGGGTCCTCCTTCTCCTCAAAAAGGCCCCTTCATTTTTGCTAGGGCAGGCTGGACATGGCTCTTTCCAGAGCCCATCAATGTCACTCTGAGACTCAACTGATGGGCCCATCACTGCTTGGTGGATATGAGAACACAGGGCTGTAAGGGACCCTTTGGGTCACTGAGTCCGGTCATCTGTGATCCCAGGCAACAAGGGGATTAATGGCTGTCTATAAAGTTTACAAGAACATCCATTCTGGTTCAGAGGAGGAGAAGCACAGCTCTGTGCCTAGGGCAGCCACACAGCACCCGGAGCAGCACCAGCTCCAGCTCCAGCTCCAGCTCCAGCTCCAGCTCCAGCTCCAGCTGTGCCTATTGTAGTGGTGTGCTCAGCAGTCACTGTGGCAATGGCTGTTCCCAGGGCTTCTGCCCTGTCTCCCCCCTTCAGTTACACTACCGGTCTGGCCTGTCCCACACACCACAGCCACAAAGCATGTCCTGTCAACCTGATGGCCCTTAGTACCAATGCACACACATACTCTATGATGTGCCAAAGGACAAGGGCAGGAGAGACAATGTCTCCACTCTCCTCTAGTCCACCCATGATGCAAGGGCAGAGCAGACAGGCCTGTGCAGTTGACATTAAAATTGTTACCTGCACAAAACTACATCCACATAGTTCCAACTAGTTCAGGCAGGCCATATCCAACTCTGCAGTGAGTGCATTGACTTCTGGGGACTTGCAAAGAAAAGAGCAAGAAGGCATTCAGCCAGCAGCTGTACTGGTTAAAACTCCCACTGTTGGCACTAAGAGTCACCTTGGTCCAGTCAGGCCCCCATTTATAAATCTATTTAAACCCTGTCATCATAGTCCGAGAGGCGCTGGAGCACTGTGTAATTACCTGAGAATACGGAGACAGTGTTCCAAGGGACTGAAGGTGCCAGGAGGCCCAGGAAGGAGAGGAGACAGATCCGAGGGGAGAGAGGACAGGAGGCAGAGAAAGAGAGAGAGATGGGACATGATTAACAGGAGACACGACTGGTCAGGATCACAGAGCAGTTCATTTTCTCCATGTTATAGTCCACTTAGCAGAAACACAGTCTCATTAAAGCTGTCAGGCACTGAGCCGAGCTTGCAGAAGAGATGGCTCCATCAATGGGAAACAACTAGCAGCCTACCCCACTACCTCAGCTTGGTCTAAAGAACAGAGGGGAAGCACTGGTCCTGCCTGGTTACTGCTCCAGGGAAGATGCCCAGTGGAGGAGATTGATGAAGCAAATGCTTTCTCCCCAGTCACCTGGGAAAGGGGAACAACAAGGGAGCCCCCAGATCAAACCCCTCCTGGAGTCCTCTGTGTTCAGAGCACCCTGGGCTGCACACTTACATCAAGGCTCCAAGTATGATGTTCCATCCAGGAGGGTCCTGTTTCTGTCCACACTGGCGCCTAAGGTCAAAGGGGACTTCTCCAGATTCAGTTTCAACCTGAGGTTAAGGCTGATGTTGTAACAGCCACAGGGTGTGCAGTAAGAGGCAACACCCACAGAGGGTGAGAAAGAGGAACGGTGGACTGAACCTGAGAAGCTCCATGAGGTCTCAGAGGTACTAACAAGGCTCCTCACAGGTGCTTCCCTGGGAGCTGAGGAAGCATGTGCAGCAAGACACACCTAGGACAGGAGACGCCAAAACCTCCAGGGCTCTTCATGGCAGGCTGGAGAGGCACCTGGCCTAGAGGAGCTTCCTGTGCTACCTTCCAGCTGCAGTCTCCATGATCAGCCCCCAAGCGTTGGAGGTCTGGGCCACTGAAGGCCAGCTCTGCCTGCAGCACAATCCCCACACAGCACTTGGCATTCTCTGTTTAGGGGAGGATCATTTCCACTCACATGTGGATCCAGTCCACAGATCCTCATGGGCGCCAAGCTACAGAATGAAAGTGTCCAGGCAATGGTCACTGTCTATTATGCTCACAAACTGGCCATTATTGGACAGCAGACAGACACCCCCCAGTGAGGGGGCAGAGATGCAAGGCAGCTGGGGTCTACCCTAAGTCTCCCAGGTCTTGTGCTTATCCCAGTCAATAGCCTGATTTGCTCTTTGCCTATATCAATTTTATGCCAGACGAAAGTCGACACCTTCATTGGGATACACTTTGATTTACCTGTAAGAGAAGAATCAGGCCCGCTACATCTTGGTTCCCTGGTCTGAGCCCAGGAGGAGGCAGACTGAACCCTCATGACCTGGCAAGAGCCTCTGAAGCTCTGCTGTGAAGCACAGTCACTGCTCCCCTGTTGGTGTTGAGGTCATGGACCACTAAGGGGCCTGGACAAAGCAAGGCTGGACAACTGGCACGTGAGGAACCGTGACTCCACTCTACCTAGGAGATTTCAGGGCATTTATGGGCAGCAGTTACAAAGGCCACTTCCAGAACCAACTCAAAGGGCCCAGTCCTGCCCTCAGTGCCTGCTGATCCTAGTGGGAATTGTGGGCACAGGATCAGGACCCTAGTCAAGTCCTCTTTTCTCCTCTCCTTCCCATTTAGCTAAGGGTGAAATTGCCTAGTAGCCCCAGCTTGTACCAGGAGGTGAGGCAGGGGCTGCTCCATCCTAGGTGTTGCCTCAGCATCACTCCACAAAGTGCTTCCTAGTGATCCCACAGATATGGCAGGCACCAGGCCCCTCCATCTGCATTCTCCCCATCAGAAGAGGAAGCGGCAGATATTGGCTGTCCTACCCTGTCCCTGGCCATCTTGTTCTCTCTCATTTGGAACTGGGCACCTTGGGGAAAATAACTGCAGGGAAAATAGGTGTCAGCTCCTTAACAGCCAGCTTTTCAGCAGTGCCACTGGTGCATAAGGAGGTCAGCCAGGCATAGAATGACCCTGCTGGAGATCTGCCCATTCCCCATCCTGGGATGGGGCTGGTTGTAGGGCTTCCCTTCACTCATTTCATGGCCTGAAATGCCCTGGGATGCAGCTGAAGAAATTCCCTGGGGAAGTCATTCCTGCAGGGAGTCCTTTCTCTCCACACCCCCTGTCAGTTGCTAAGTGCTATCTATGCTCATCCTAAATGGCTTCCCCCAGCTCGGCCAGAGCCATAGATGATCCAGATTGTAATTGCCTGTTGCTGTAGCTGATTTCTGGCTTTCCTTCACCTGAACCACAGTAGCACAGGTTGTCACCAAAGTTGTTCCATCTGGGCCAGTTACCAGATGACAGATCCTCATCAGAGATATCCAAGGTGAAATCCTTCTGTTTTCACCAGGTATAAATCTGAAGTGACCCCATTAAAATCAGCACAGTTATTTCAGATTCAGATCTGCTGAACCACAATTATCTGTGTCCCCCCCACCTCAGTCCTTGCTAGATTCTGAGGCCCTCTTTGGGCACGCGGAGACTCAGTACCTCCCCATAGCTATATCTCTCCAGCGTCTCATCCGATGTGTATCTGTGATAGGGCTCGTAGGAAATGAGGTCAGGACGCTGCACCTCGTAGATGGCTTTAATCTTGGGAAGAGCTGCCAGGTCTTTGTAATTAAGGATCTCATTATCCACTTTAGCCTGAGGAAAGGGAGAGATGGAGACAGAGACAGAGACAGAGAGAAAGATAAGGAGAAAGGGAGGAAGAAGGGGGAGGCTGGAATACACAGCGTGAGGCTAACAGACCAAAAAGAACCAGTGTGCAACCACAGGGAAGGGGGAAGGTCAGGAGATGTCTTCACAAGAAGCCCTAAGTTCCCCCAGGAGAGAAGAGGCACCAGTGGGAAAGGGGCTGGAAGGGTAATGGTGGTGAACAGCCTGTGAAATACTCTTCTGTCTTCACAGGGCCTGCTGAGGCTAGGAGCTCCCCGTAGCCCAAAGACTGGCCTGACCTCATGGGTGCTCCTTGCACTGCAGGCTGGAACTGGGAACTGGGAACTCTGCTCCCAGTTCTGAAAAGACATCTAATCTGCCCTCACCAGGGCATGCATAATGCCACTCCCCCAGCACACCAGAGACTAGAGGAGGGGGGCATAGTCACCATGCTCTTTCTCCACCAGCAGACCTGTACTTACGCAGATGACTCTGTTGGGGGAACCAATACTGGAACCAGGGGGTGAGATGGAGGTTTCTGACGTTCTTCTGTGCTGTGTGAACATGAAAGAACAAAGTAGATCAGAGGTCAAGTGATCTGTGGCCTTCACTCATACCATGAAGACAGGAGGGCAAAAAGACAAGGCCATCCTTGAGGTAAGGAGTCAACGGAGTCTCACTTGCTTATATTAGGGATGAATTTTGCCCAACATCTGATGACAGGACACTAAGAGGGCACACCCAAGTCTCTGTGAGCATGCATGTGTGCACACACACACACACACACACACACACTGGAACTACACTTTGCACTCATATCCTGGAATGCAACTGTGAAGCTGTCACTGACAGTGTGGGGAAGTGCAGGACTGTTCTGGCTGATTTCCTGTGTCTGGAAAGGTGGGAGGGCAGACAGCTTTGATGGACCATCTGGTGACTGCACCCCTGGCCTGGAGCATTTCTGCATTGTGTGTTTACTGTTTAAAAAGTGGGAACCAATAAACAAGATACTAAACTCAAATGAAAACCTGCCAAAAGCACCGAGCCTGGCTGGGCTTTCTGCTGGGAGGATCTCAATCTTCTCAACAGTGCCTCCTGAAGACAGTTATGGAGCAACCACTGGCCTCCAAACGGAGGCCTGTCAATAATTTCCTGTGGGCAGAAGGACGGTGGCTGCAACATGGAGTCTCTGAAGGAAGACAGGGCATCCTGCAGGTTATGACTGGGTTGTAGAGAGCCCCCTTGCCATGGGAAGTGGGAGGCTGAGAATGTGCTGACATTCGGACCAGACTCTTGTGGGAAGTTTGGTGCAAAGAGTGGCTCTTGGTTTGCATGCCACCCTCACAACTCGTCTCCAGACATGTGCTAGACCCCCCAGGGCAGTCTCAGGGGTATCTGTCTGTGACCCTGCACTGTACCCCGCTGCCCCCTCACCTCTCACAGACACCCCTTCATGCACTGCCAATGTTCCAACTTACCTTCAGTTTCTTCTCTGCTCTTGCCGCCTGTTTACAGATGGGGTGCCACACTTCAGAACCTGAAACCCAGCACAGCACAGCACAGGGTCAGCAGTTTCTAGCTCTCCAGGGAAGAGGCCTAACTACCACTAGCAGCTGGAGCCAGACATACCCCCCATCACTCCCTTCAGTCCTGACCAGCAGCCTTGCCCTGAACCTCCACACATCTCAGTTTTGCCCTAAACTGCCCTGCTGTTCTAGCCCTGGACCCCTCCTAGTGCTGATTTGCTGTGCTAGTTATTGGGAGCATTGAGTTGCATGTCATGCATTGTTTAGCCTGTAAGCTGTGGGGGGCAAAGCCTGTGTCTCATGCAGTGACAGGCACACTGTCAGCACCCAACAATGAATGATGGTGAGAATGGGCCTTTGAGGCCAGCGTGGGACCAGAAAATTCCTCTTGCCTGGGACGTAAATGCGGCTTACACCCAGGCACCATCCAGACCTCGCACTGGGGCTTCCCAGAAGGGACTGCCTTTTGAATAAGAATTTAGTCTGTCGCATCACAGGCAGCTTTCCAATCCCAGTACCCAGTATGTCACCATGCCGGCTCCCTGCACTAGGTGGGAGTGACAGTCATGCTGCAGTCTGCTCTTTCCAGAGTAATAGAGACTCTTGAACTCATGCCTTGGCTTGTGTGGCTGAAAGCTCACCCATAACATAAACCCACCCCCACCCACTCTGGAACTGAGCATCAGAGCATCAACTGGGAATGCAGCTTGGGCACATCCCCCTTGCAGCTCCTCTGATGCTCACCTCCCAGTCCAGGAATAAACTGTGAACTATCAAAGCCAGAAAACCAGCCCCTGTCCTTCCCTGCTTTCCCTCCACCCACCTTTGGGTGGCACCTGGTGGGCCCAGTGCCCTGCAGTGACGCTGGGCTGTCACAGGCCGCGTGCTGGGAGAGACAGCCAGGTGCACAGCCCTTAGATCATGCCTCTGCCTCCCCCACCAAAGTGACAGGGCCTCTGCCAGGACCACGCCAGCTGACAGTTCAGCGTGACACTAATGGCACAGCCACTCCCCAGCGCTAAGCGCACAGAGGAGTCTGTCAGTCCCCAGCAGAGGGCTCCTGCCATGAATCCTGCGGTGCGAGGGCGGGAGGCACCCAGCCCTGCAATTACCCCTGCAAATCCACATGGGTAATTAATGACTCAGGGCAACAGGCAACTGCAGGTTAGCAAAGAGAAAACAAACCCTCCCTCTGAGCTCGAAATAGCCCCACAGGCAGCTCGAGGCAGGGCTGAGATCCTTCAAAGGCCTGTTCATTTGTTTCTTTCTAACCCAGATACCCATAATGGAAGCCTCAATCTCTTCAGGGCTACACTCAGTACAACCAGGAAACAGAGGGAGATTAGTTTTCTGGCTAAGGAACTAGAGTGGGGCCTGAGACATCAGGGTTCAGACACCAACCCCGTCACAGACCCACTAAGGCAGACGGGGCACATCCTTGGTGCCATGGATTGTCCACATTTGCTTCTGAAGTTGGGAACCCAAATCTGGTGGTTACTTTTGAGACCATAAGGCTTATTCGCTCTGTACTTCAGCTTACCCTTCTATGAAATGGGGCTTTTTCGTTCCTGACCTGCCCTCACAGGGTCATTCTATGAAATGCTTTGCGGTGATGGATGCCACAGACATTCCTGGACAGACACGATGTGGTTCTCCAGCCATAGGTGAGAATTCCCGGTACTTATGTCTACTGCACCCTGGCAGCACTGATGAGGTTCGTATGCAGTGTGCGAGGGCATTGCTGAAAATGACTTTGAGTAAGGAAGAAGTTGGCCAAGAGGAATAACGTTTCCTCTAGGAAAATGTCTCTGAGAGGTCCTTACTGTTCTCACAGCTTTTGCTGGCTTACTGAACTGGAAGCGGAGGAGAGTGGTGATGAGCATGGGCTCTGCCTGGGCCTGGATACGCTGTTCCTTCCCCACCAGGAGCAACATTTTGTCTAAAGAGATAACTGCCAAGTGTCACAGGGGGACTGCTTGTGTGCCTGGAGATAGCAGTACCTCTGCGCTGCTGGACTTCAGGCATAGTGAGGAGGGAGCAATAGTCTATAACTGAGCAGTCTGTGGAGTGAAGAGGTCTAATCTCCAGGGAGGAAATCCAGGCAGGAGATTCTCTGACATCTTATGAACACAACCACCCTGCATGATCCACATCTGAGCTACCCATTAGCTGGGCCTGGGCCTAGTGGCACAGCCACAGCATAGGGCACTTCCTACGTTACCACAGGCATTGCAGTTTCCTCCACTCACGGTAGTGAGGCAACCTCCCTGGCTCCCTGCACTGCATATTTAAACCACAGCTTCAGTGACCATCTGCCAGGGGAGCCTAGCACATGGTTGTGCACCCACTCCTGACATGCCCTGGGATCAGCAGATTGCCACATGGAGACAGTGTTCATGGCCAGCATGTCCATACCTGTGAGATACATCTCCTCCCCTTCTGTGAACATCTGGTGGCAGCGGACACATCTGGCACAGGTTGGGTGGTAATGTTTCCCTCCTGCCTGCAACAAGCAGAGAAATCAGGCATCTAAATGGGCAGAAATTGCTGAGCTGCTTTTTCCGCTGTTCTCCTGGGTCTGAGCTGCCCAGTATCCTTCACGCTCCTCATAGGAAAGAAGGAAATGGCAAAGTAGAGCAAAGTGCCTTGACAAGTGACCACACAAGTTGACCTAGCCCCAGGGATGTTTGGGAATTATCATCCTCCTAACCATGATGCATGAAGGGAACCAGAGCCCCAGGTCCCATTTCCTCCAATCAACCCATTCATCAGGTACTCAGGTAGCGTGCACCATTGCCAAACCAGTCTGCAGCCTTCCACACTCGCTTGGCATTGTAGGAAGTGACCATCCACAAAACAGGACTGCAGAAAATCAGGGCCAGCAAGCTCAAATCCAACTAACTAGCCACTCCAGCCTTCAAATCTTGACTTTGGCAAGTGTAGTAACTGGTAATGACTTATTGTTCAGCTACTGCATGTAGGGAGGGATCCAGGGGCTTCCTTGAGGGGTCAGAGATTTCATGTGGGGATTGGTGGAGCTTCCTAAGTACTGCAGCCATCTTTCCCAGTGTGTCTCAACATAGCACTCCTTTGGTGCTGCAGGGATGTTTTGTGTGTCCAACTTCCCAAAGTATCTTCCTTGTATCTGTCATTGGCCCTGTCCAGCCCCAGGGGGGCTGCACTAAGGGGTCACAGCTATGACCTATCAAACAAAAGCCACAGGCTCCTATTTTCCAAACCAACCCTGGGATTTTGACTACCTTCTGAAAGCAAGCAGGCATCTCACAGTACAGAGGGAACCCAAGGCTTCACTTTGCAGCCCCCCTTTTAAGTGATTCCCACTTGATTATTTCTCCCCTGCCCTCATTTCTCAAGACTCTTCCACCAGAAAAACTTTCCTGCCCCCTTCTGTGCCAACCATGCCCAAACTTCAGCTGTAACAACCTGCTATTTCCCCAGTGGCACATTGCTGGGCTGTTCCCCTTGCCCTTTGACAAGGATAATAGGTTTAATTGGTAGCTTGTTTCCACTCAATGTGTCTGTTAGAATTTCAATTACAGGCTCGTTTTCTGGGCGCTGGAGCTCACAGGCCGCAGTTGGCTCCAGGCAGCACTGAAACCTGGTCTGTGCTGTACAGTGTGTAACCCCTGAGGGACATTTTATGATAATAATATAAGAGGGCGAAGGATTATTTAAAGCTGTTAAGGGAATGAAGGATGGGGAGGAGTCTGCAATTTTCTAGGGGCACAGTTAACTTGGATACAGTATCAGTCTGAACCTGGGAGAGTCCAGAGGAAAAGGGAATCATTTGCTACAAGGGGGGATCAAGAAGAGGACTAGTGAGATTATGAATGGGGAACTACTAATCACGCGCAGAGCTTTTCATGGCACCGGCTTAGGCTATGGCCACCTGAGGGGAGAAGCAACGCTTGAGGCATAAGCCCAGAACACGTCACACCCAGGCAGCTGCAGGCTGTGCACTGACAGGCAGGCATTTGAGAGCGTGAGAAAATTGCCTGTGATTCATCTGGGGTAAATTTGTTACTGTTTGGGGTGGGGACACATCACTTCAGCATCATGTGCTTGCAGCTTTTTTAGCCTGTGGCAAAACAAGCTGTCCTGATGTAACCCATTTGTGTGCCCACGGCCCTACCTGGGAATGCGTTCCCACTCAAGGGCTCCTAGCAGCTCTGCATGAAATCAGAGGGTGATACAGCACTGCTTGGCTGGCCTCTGCTGGCTGTCCCTGCGTGATAGGCTCACCCGTGTTCCATGTAGACCAAGCTCCCCTCAGCAGGGGAAGATCAGTAAGTGTCGGCAAGAGCCATGTATGGGGAAGCTCACTCTGCTGCTGTTTGCACTGCCTGCAATCCATGGAGCTCAGTGGGTGCGAATGCACATGGAGCATCCATTTCTTATCTATATCATGTTCACTCCCAAAGGAAAAGACAGGTAGAAAAGTCACTTGTAGGACTCACTGGGGAGGAGGATCCTGCACTCAAAGCAAAAGAACTAACAGCTTGCTCTAGTTTTCATCAAAGTTTGTGAGACTTTCCATTGACTTCAGTGGGAATTGGTTCAATCCCTAAGAAAACAAGGATAAGGTATGTCCCTGATGAGATTCCACCACAAGGATTTTGTGGTCAATATATCACATTTAAGCATATTGCAAATTGGAAACAATCTCTTCAGTTGTTCCCAGATTATACACCCTCTCAGCCTGTCCCACTTCTGAAACCACAAATCTATCCCTTTGGATCTGCCTACAGCTTGAGCTGTATTTCCCATTGTCCCTAAAGACACAGCTCAGTTTACTCCAGACACTTTGCAGGGGATGATGGGAGGTTGGAGGGTGGGCATAATTCATCTGTGCAGATGCAAGAAATACAGTCAAAGAAGGCCAAGGTACTCACCATCTAAACACTGGTCATACCACGCTGACCACACCTTTGGCTGCTGCAGTGCTATTCCACCATGCCCCCTCCATGACAACAGGTCACAATGATGGAGCTTTAGATAGTGATCACAACCCAGGGTGTAAATAAATCATATGAGACATCAGCAACCATAGCAACTCCCTCAATATTTCCTAATGACAATTTTTAACCTGGGATTGGACCTCAAAGTGCTAATCCCTGTAGCCCGTGGAATTTGCCCAGGGAGTTCGACTGTGGAAGGATCAGGCTCTAAGTATCTACAGGTAGACAGGTATGACATCAACTGATAATAGGCCATCCTTTGATGATGACCCTGTGGTGGTGTCAAAAGAGCTGGCATCACAGAGGAAATGAGGCAGCTAATCCCATTGAATGGAGCTGAATTTTTACAGGCTTTGAAAACATTAGGGGATCAAATGCCTGTCATTTCAGGTGTTTCCATCTGTAGGTGCCTGAAGTCATCTAAAATTATAGACACCCTTTGACAATTACGAGCTAATCTCTTCTTTGTCAAGGCCAGGGAAGATCACAAAAGAGATGAGTTTGGAGTTCTGATCTTCTCAGGTAATAGATGATTTCTATAGCTCAAAACCTTCCACATTCTGGCTCACTGGCTACTACTATACAGGAGGAATGTAGGACTGCTATGACAGAGTGACACATTTAAGGACAGATGCATGCTGGAAGAGCTGGAGCAGGGTGGGCTAGAAGAGGACATGCTCTGGTCAAACTGGGTTAGACCCCAAGATGGGAACAGAAAAGGAGAATGCAGTTTGGGATTGAGACAGCTGTGCTGTGAGGGACCACAGGGCTGACAAAGGCTGGAAACCTGCAGGTCATTTGTCTGGGAGTACCTACACTGCACCCCACAATAGAGACCATCTCCACTGAAATACTGCCCTCAGAAAAAAGAACCCTCCTTTCCTCTTCAAGGAGAGGAAATTACACTTCAGAACCAGATGAAAGCATTGTTTGCTTGTTATTGATTAAAATTATAGCCCCCATAAAAGCCTGAGAGATGCTGTGAGTGAAGAGACCTGTTCATTATTACCCGAGGTCCCTTAAAGACTCATTAATCATTCAAGGCTGACTGCACAACTCGTAGTCATTTGGAAACCCAAAGGCTCATGGGATAGCATAAGAAGGCTCATTAAGACCTAAAATTATTTAAAGGAGACTTCTGTTTCAAACGCCGTCAGAGAAGACAGCAAAAGCTGAATGCTTCACAGGGAGGAATTCCGTATAGGCTCTTGGGTGTCCACCTTAACCTAGTGTGATTGCCACTGCCTAGCCAGATGGCCAGGATGAGTCTCTTCCGAAGAGACATGGGATCGCTGAGGGGCTGGGGTCAGATTCCACAGCATGACTGAGCTGGTTCCCTGGGATAGGCCAATAATGCCATAGGGTACTTGGCACCTCCCTCCCTTTGCTGCCTTCACTGCAAAGTTCATCAAGCTCCATTTCAATACCTGGAAGAAGGTCACATGCAAAGTCTACCCAGACATGCTCAGAGCCCAAGTGATTTATGTCCAGCCCATTTGCTTACTGGCACAGGGAGGTTCCCTTGCCTAGACTCAGTGTCACCACTGAGATCTGAGCTAATGAGACATATGGCTGACGTTCAGAGACCTGCATGACATTACAGGATTCATTTTCACATCTTGCTGTGGGGCACAAAAGGATCCTTATCCCCAGCCTGCATTTGGGGATGCCGAGGCATAGACTTGTGGTAGAGGTGGATGTGAAAGGTGGCATTGGTTACTAATAGATGATATGGTGTAACGGGGCAAATGTAGCCATTAAAGAGGGAGTAGAGAGGAACTGCAGCATGAAATACAACCCCTGGGATGGGCGTTAAGAAGATGGAAGTTAAGGCAGCCTCTGGTTCTCTGAGGAATCTGGGTAACAGGCTCCAGAGATGATGGATCCCCTCCTTGCAAGACGGTGAACTAGGTAATGTATGGTCCTATGCTGGCTACAACCTTTCCCTCTAGCTCAGCCGTGGTGAGGGGAAGGTACCCAGGAATGAGTCGGCCAGCCTGCAGTCCTCTCAGCTCCATTTCCCATTCAGACACCAGGACCCAGAAACATTACAAGAATGGTTTAAAATTGGCCATGGTGTCTGAACACCACTCCAGAATTACCTAAAAATCCCAATGTTTTTCTTCTCGGGTAAGGGTTTTTCTCTTTGCCTTCTGTGCCCTTAGGTTGCTTTTGGGTTATACTTCCTGGGTTTCTTCTGAAAGTGCAAAGGCTAGAAACCTGCTTTTGTTAAATCACTGGAAATCAAGATTATCACAGAAATCCATGACTCTAGAAATGGGGGCATAAGGAAAAACACCAGAAAGTGCAAGGCTGCCAACACCAGAACTGTGCACAAGACACTCCCTCCCACTTGGGGATTTAGTAGGCTGACCATGCAGCAGCATCCAATGGTCATACCTATCGCAAGGGAATACTAACCACGGTCCTGCTGGGAACTGCTGTCATCTCAAAGCACTCGAATTGTGGCAGGCCACAATTGGTACCTGAATGAGGAAATCCAGCTGTAGATGGACAGGGGCTTGTCCAAAGCTACCAAATCAGGAGGGTGGATTTGGCAGTCCAGCCCCAGCCCTAGTCACTGTGTGTTTGTCTCTTCCCAGCTAGTCCTTGATTTGCCTTCTGCACTAGCAGTGCAGCCTGAATAATGGTAGGAGATCATTAACCACTGTACCACCGCCTGGTGTGTTCTAGCGCAGGTCGGCCTGAGGCATCCAAACAACTGAAGTCCCCTTCCATGATCGGTGCTGTCCTGTTCATGCCAGGTAGGTGGGGCCCAAACGCCTTCCTGGAGATGCCTCCCCCTCCTTTCCTGATTTGCACATCCGGCTTGCTAGGGTGACAGAAGGAATGGGAGCACAGAAGAAGGAGCCACTGGGATCCTTCTGTGGTTGAGTGGTACTTGCACCAAATCCCCTTGGAAGGTGGGGGAGGGATCTGTCAAAGGATCAAACCCAGAGTTCAGCACAATTTGGCCTACTAAATCCCTGTTAGAAGAACCACATAGCACTGCTCAGATACTTTGGGCTCTCTCATATCATTTACATGCACTGCTGCTGCACCTCTAACTTTTCCCGGACTCCCCCAGATGCCTGCAGCCTTCCAGCCGGCTCATTCCACCCTCCCAAGAGGGTGGCTAGCAGGATGCTTGGCTCAGCCCCTGGTATTGCTCCTTGCAGGCTGAGCACCACAGCTCCTTTCCTCTACTGGCACATGACTAGCAGCCGTGTTGGATTTGTTGCCATGGCAACAGACAGGGTGGGTGGGCAGGCTCTGGAGCACTTTAGGTGAATGTATTGGGGGAAAGCATCTGAGAAATGTGCCAGTGTCATAGTGTCACCGGGAGGGCAGGTGCTGTAATTGATGGTTACAATGGTTACAATACACCACTGCAGCTGAGTTGCATCCATGTGGTACCTGGGAGAGGAGATGTTCCCTAATTAATGCCAGCAAGGAACTTAGTTTGCAGAGACTGGGGAAGGTGGATTCCCTTGAGGATAGCACTGAATTCTAGCCCAGGTTCAGGGCAACACGCTTTGCAAACAAATACTACGCTGCTTCTGTTCATCTGTTCATCCAACTACCCGTCCATCTATCTGCAGAGCTCAGACAGTACAGGGATGGCTACGATGCTATTGAAGAACCCGCACAGCTCCAGAGCAGCTGTAACACCCCCTGCCTGCACATGCCTGCAGACAACAGCCATCTGGAAGGAAAAAAACAGGGGAACTTTCCCAGTCCTGCCACTTGGGCTAACACAGTAACTCTCTCAGCTCTGAGTAGCAAGCTCCTACCTGCTAGATGTGCACATAATCAAGCATGCTGAAACCTCTGGACCCAGTAGCAGTGCCAGGTTACCCACCCAGCCTCTATCACCTCAGCCACTTATACTGCCTTCCCAGTGATGCTTCTGCTTCTGGTCCCATGACAGCCAGATGACAGCGCTTCTCTTCCCAACCACTTCCTGTTCAGTCTGTCTTTTTAGCACTTTGGATGCTAAGCTCAGGCATATCTAGAGCCCTTTTTTATAGGTAAGGAAACTACAGGAAGAAAAACCCATTACCACCCCTCTACTGCAGTGACTTTCATAGATTTCATAGACATTTGGGCTGGAAGGGACCCCGGAGGATCATCAAGTCCAGCCTCCCACCCCAGGGGCAGGAAGTCAGCAGGGATCATAGGATCCCAGCAAGATAAGCATCCAAATGTGTTTTAAAGGTGCTCAAAGCGGGTGCTTGAACCGCCTCAGGTGGCAGTCTGTTCAAGCACCCACTTTGAACGCCTTCAAAACACATTTGGACACTTATCTTGCTGGGACTAGGATCCAAGAGCTCAGTGCCCCAGGGCCCTGCAGTGGACCTAATCACATAGCATGTCTGTCATTTGTGTCACTCACACCTGTGACTGGTGGACCTAAAGATTGTGCAGGGTGGGATTTAGGGAAAGGCCAATGAAAGTGGGCCAGGCCAGAGCTTCAGCCTAAGCCAGGGCTCCCTGGGGTGGTCTTGACAGCAAGTGACTGGCTTGCTCTGTGGTGGGTGAGATTCACTCACCCTGTTCCTCAGTTACTTGAAGGAAGTGAGCAGCCCCCTAGCTGCCTTGACTCACCTCCAGGACCCTGCCGCTGATGTACCGGTCGCAAGTCTCGCACTTAATGCCAAACTGAGCATGGTAGTCAGATTCGCAGTACGGAACGCCATCCCTGCGGGGAGGAGAGAGACAGAGCCCATGAGAGGGAGAAAAGAAGAAAGGAAGGAGACAACCAAGACACAAAACAAGGTAGCCAAGACACACACCCTCCCCAGCCTGTGCATGCTACTGGCTTTCCAATGCATTTCTCCTGAGATGCTGCCCTCATTAGACTGACTAGCCCACTGAGATGTTTGCAAAGCGGTTCCCTTGCTGAAAGGGAGGGAATGAGTGACCCATGGAAGGCGGGTGGCAAGCCAAGAGGGCATCTTCTCCATTGCTCACTCAGCTTTTCCACCCCCCATCCCCATTCCCCAACTTTTCCCTTAGGGTCTTCTCATGCTCTTCCAGACCCTTCCCACCAAGGCCCTGTCCTCCAATCTTGCTTCTTTAGGCTCTTCTTGCCTGGCTGGCTCGTTTTTTTCAGGCTCCTCAGCATTGCTTACTTTGCACAGGGGCAGGGCAAGGACTCCATGACAGGCTTCAACTTCATGCCTCAGTGCTCCCCCACTCTGCTCCAGCAGCAAGGGAGCAGCTCGGAGAGAAGGACACATTTTCCTGAAGGGCAAGTGCCCAATTCCTCCACCCCAGGAGCCAGGCCAGGCCCCTACCCACAGGAGGGGACTCATGGATTCATTGCTCACAGACTCCCTGTCTGAGGGCCCCATACTGACTTGCTGTCTCCAACCTGCCATAACTACATATCTCACAGCCAGGTTTTGGGCTGCTGGCCCTTGATCAGCTTCAGACCAAGGGGCTCAGCAGGGCTGGGCCAGGCCAGGCCCTGGGGACAGCTGAAGCCTGAGTACTGGGGCAGAAGGAGTGAACTGAGGACACAACAGAGCTGCTCTTGTCTGCTTATGTGACTGAATCTGCCTGCAGTGGCCTAGGGGGACTGTGGAAGCCTGACGGCAGGCGGGATTGTTCATGAGCCAAGGCCTGAGTCAGAAACCCTGCAGCCAGCTGGCATGCCGAGAAAAAAACCCTTTCCCTGCCGCTTGCTCTGGGCCTCAGAGTTAGATATACAGTTGGTGGTCCGCACCAAACAAGCTGTCAGAGCTCCAGCATTACAGCCGTGCGCCCAGTACCACAACTCCTGAGGGCAGAGCGCAGAGGTCCAGCTCTCCTGGTGCAGCACAGCCCACGCAAGCTAGCGGAGAATCCTTCCCATATGTGGCAATTCCAGGGTGCCTATACACGTACATCGAGGCTGCTCCGTCTTGCTGTAATTACAGTGCATCGGAGCAGACTCGATTAATCGTGGTAATTACCACGCTCCAGCAGACTCCAGAGTCTTGGGTATCAGTGTCCCCATGCTGAAAAACAGTGGTGGAGGCACTTTAACTAAAGCTCTTTGAATGAGCTTTAGTTAAAGAGCCCCCAACACCATTTTTCAGCAGGGGAACACTGATATGCATGATGCTCTGGATGCTTTAATTAGAGCAGCTGCGGAGCCACTCTAATTAAAGCACCCCACCCCCTTGCCTCCTGAAGCCCAAAGCACATGTGTAAACAACCCCAAAGCCTAGGACACCTGCCTGGCTGGGTCTGACATTTCATCCAGAAGGAGCATCTATGACATGTATTCACCAGCCAGCAGTGGTTCCTCCAGCAGGGAGCAAGTGAGGGGGAGCGCTGTCACAATCTGCTTCACAGGCATGGCTAGATCCTCCTCAAGTCTCCCGAGAGATGCAGCTAGCATGCCCTGCCTGCATCCCTCCAGCCAGCTGTGGTATAGAAATAGGTGACCAGCTGGTTCCTTCCCAGAATCCACCTCTGGAACAGGGGCTTCTGCATTAGATCTGTGCCTGTGGTATCCACCCATTGACCTTCGTGCACCAGACAACACAGCCCACACGTCCCAAGTCCTACAGCAATAATCTTTGCCCTTCCCAGCCTTGCTCTGCCTCACTCCCTTCCCAGCAAGTGGCTGTGATTTTGGGAGGAACAAAGGGTAGAGGGACACAGTGCTCACTTGCTGATGTACTCTCCGGTCAGAATGATCCCACAGGTTTGGCACTTGAAGCAGCTGACGTGCCACTGCTTCTCCAGGGCCAGGAGTGATTGGCCTTGCTTGATCTCCTCTTTGCAGCCCGCACAGTCTGGAGAGACAAGGGACAGGAAAGAGCATGAAACCACCACAGCTTCCAAGGCAAGGGCTCAGCAACCGGAAGGACCTGGAAAACTCAGGAGAAAATCCCAAGGGTTAGCAAACTTCATGGCCTCCCAGGGAGGCCCCACTACCACTTCCTTCTGCCTACGGTAAGACCTAGGACACTGTGCTCTAAGCATTAAAAACTCCACCCACACTGAGGCAAATAGTGGGGCAGTGTCTCGACTTGCCTAAAATTTCAGGGAAATGTACACGGGATTCCTAGCCTGTCGCTTTGGCAGGGGGCTGTGCTCTCTTATGAGCACCCCAGCCAGTCCTTAGAAGCCCCATAGCCCCTAGGTAGCAAACAAATCAAAGAAGCCAACACAAAGCCCTTGTGCCCTGTCCCAGGCCCTCTAGAGGGGCACTCTGGCTTTTGGCTCCCTGCACAGCCCCTGGGATTGTCTTTTAGCAGGTAGCTGCAGGCACTGCTTGCTTCCTCCTCTCGGACTATCCTTTCACAGGCTTCTCTCTCAGCCCTCTCCTGTAGGGTTTTTAAATGCCTAATGGGACAATACCTCATTATTAGAAGGCCCACAGCTGAATGTCTTTCACAGGACTGACTGCCCCTTCTTAGGGGGACAGACAACCCAGTTACAGGGAGGTAAAGAAAAGTCCCATGGCCACAGAGAGAATCAAAGACAGGTGACATACCCACCCCTCCAGACACTGTGTACAGGATAACATGGAGATGTATGCACACTCCACGATCTCTCTCTCTCTCTCTCTCTCTCACACACACACACACACACACACACACACACCCCTTCAAACAATTCCATGTGCATGCAAGAAGGGAGGCCTCAGCTGAGTTATCCATTTACCCCAACACATTCTGCATTTTCCTTCCAGTGGGAATATGATTCATCAGCATATTCCCTAATTAGTCCCAGTGTTTTGCCTTCCACAGCCTGAGCTGAGGTAGAGCCGGGCTTCTCCTCCTTGGAGAGCAGGGTGGCTGGGCCACGAATGCAGGGTGCAGACCACATGTGGGCACAATGCATGGGGACTACGCCATGAACCTACAGCACAGAGCAGCAGATGCCCAAGCCTGGCCCAAGACAGAGGGGTCACTGGGTGAGTGCTCAAGAAGGGGTATCACAGACATCTCGAACCTGTTACCAGCACCAGTTCAGCGCCACCAGTAGGAAACCCAGTGCTGAGCAGGGTTTACCCACTGGGTCATGACCTGAAAGCAGGGGGCCCAGAGGTTAAAATGACAGCAGTTTTTGACCCATGTCTGAGTCCCCACACATGGCTCCCACTAGGAGTAGGGGCTAGTGCGAAACACCTGGCAGCACCAGACTCCCTTCCTTTCCTGCTTTCCCTGGCTCCCACGGAGGCTGGCAGCAGGAAGTACATGGGTCTGAGAGACCTGACCTTGACTCCTCTCTGCTGTTCTCTCTCCCCTCCAACAGCCCACCAGGGATTATCTAGGTTTTTCAGGGCAGGTGTCACAGGGGACAAAGGGCTCCTTTGTAACCCCTTCACTGCCATTCTCCAAAGGGATTTCAGTCCTCTCCCTTGCACTGAATGCCAGGCAGTAGCTCATGGCAGCACTGAGGGTGTGCTTCATTCGGCTCACCTCAGGGCTTCACGGCTGCACTTCACCCCCCACGTATCCAGTCTCCTGGCACTGTTGAAAGGGTAACTGGACCTGGTACACGAAGTGGCAGCAAAGCACATTAGTTAAGCCCTGCTAGCTAGGACTTGCTCCCTGCTGAGCTCTGACATCTCCCCCCATACATTTGGTGACCACTGCTCACCTGCTTTCCAGGGAACTGAGGGAGCCTCTCAGCAGCAGCCAGTGGCCTTGCTTTTGGGGTATATTTGCCCTTGAGCTATTGAGCCAACTACTTCCACAGTGTTTCCCTCACTTCTGCCAGGGGTCTGTGGCCCTGCAGCCTGGGTGACGACCATGGCTTGGGACCAGAGCAAGGGCAGATGTCACCCTGGTCCAGGCACATCCTGGACACTGTCTGCAGCTGGCTATGAATAATTCATGGTGCCCACGGGTAACCTCAGCTCCGCAGCCTGGAGAAAGCGTCTCTGGGAGTGGATTCCAGAGGAGGATGTGGTCACCTGACTAGGACGGGACAGAGAAATCAGAGGGAGGGAGAAGAGATAACACTCGTGGATTCCCTTTCCTTTCCCATGGCCAAGAGCAGGCTAATGGACACCAGGGGACAGCGACTCAGTGCTCTGCACTCCCCTGCTCTGGCTCTGATACACCTGGCCTGGCTACTTCCAGTGCTAGCGTCTGCTGCTTGTCATGTCTGAATCCAGCAGGCATGTCCCAGCTGAAGCGTGGCTTTTGCTGGCCTCTCCTGCCTGTGCCAAAGAGAATGTAGTATAGCAGGATACCACCATTAGGACTATGTGTCAGGGTCACATATTTAGATCAGTGGTCCCGCTAGACTAGCACACGCTCTGTGACAACAGCCGATACCAGACACCTCAGGAAAACCCCTGAGATGCACCATTATTGGAAAACCTGCCTGAAGGGAATCTTTCTTCATAAACCCATTAGCTAGTGGCTGGCTCCTTCCCTGAAGCAGGAGAATTTTGTTTTAAAATCCTAACCCATGTAACTCAGGCCTCTCCACTGACAGTACCAGGGTAGTGAAGTAGAGACAACAGCAAACACCTGACAGAGAAGGGGGAGGTTTAGCAGAAGGGGCTGGTTCTATTAAAGTTACAAGATTCAAACAATAAATGGGATTTTGCCTTCCCCTGCTCTTGCATCTGAGAGGTCACTGAACCTTGCTGAGTGATGTTTGTGATATGGATCAGACCCATACTGGGAAAGCCCATAGTTCAGGGCCCCAGACCATGACCAGAGGCATCAGATGCGAAAGCAAAAATGGCAAGCGCTGGCCCCCTTCACATGATGATAACAGGTAGCCAAAGCTTTGGACTCTGCCTGTTCCTACTAAATCAATACTAGGACTTTCATGTGATTACCACAACGTTTTGGGCACACATCCAGTAGCATGACTAGAGTTTGACTACTGGGTCATCAACCCCAGCTGCCAATTTGAGCGGGCACAAGAAAAGCAGTCCAGAGCACAGCAACTGCTACTTCCCTGCTGAATTCTGACTGGAGAAAGAAAAAAACCTGATGAAAGCATCATTTTCCATAGAAGGTTCTTCTAAGCAGACAAATCCACCCCCTTTGGTGTGGTCTCCTACTGCTGTCCATGGCAAACATGCTTGCAGGCTCTAGCATTAATGCTATCAGGACTTCTCCTTTCACTACCTTTCCTGGCTCTTCCTAGCATGGCCAGCCTGGCATCTGACTGTGATGTGCCAGTCCTTCTTTTGAGCACCTGCTGAACAGCAGAGTATTTGGAGTGGGTCTGTCTCACTGCCATGGTCCAAGTCATGATGGGTTTATCCTGGTCTCAGCGGTGACCCTTTCCGGTGCTGCAGGGCAGGAAGAGTTACCCCTGAGATGGCGTGTGTCCCAACCACCTAGCAGCTGGGTCCTGCTGACACGACAGGCGCTTGGTCACTGAGGTACGGCATGGTCCCAATTCCTTCAGCCTTCTGCATGAGAGTTATGCTGCCACAGTTCTCCCCAAAGACTTGGATCACAACAGACATTGTTCAGGTGGGCACCAGCAAAGCACAGGCTGGTTATTAACTCATCGTAACTTCCTTCCTGCTCCCTCAGGATGGGCTCCTACTAACGGCAGCACGAAGCTCAAGGATTACTAGAACTAAGCATCAGACATTAGGCTGGTTTCAGCTAAGATGCAACCAGCCAGGAAAATCTTTACATTACAGGCAGGCAGACTCCAGGGACAATGGGCACATCTCTACCGCTCCTGCGGCTTCATGAAGGCGCCACTGGAAAGCACGGCCCTGCCCGGCTGAGCCAAATCCAGAAGCAAGGCAGTGAGGCTGCCCTGAGGGCCCCCTCAAGCTCTGTGTCTCCAGCGGACTCAAGAACTGTGCTCTCAGGGTGACTCTGCTGCCTTGTTTCTGGGTTTGGCACAGACTGAGTAGGGGCAGGTGAAGGGAGCGCGCTTCTTGGCAATGTCTCAGGAGAGCTGCGGAAGCAGCTCGGACAAGCCAAAAGAGAGAGAGGCAAGAGCTTTCAGAGCCAAAGTGCAGCACCATGGACACAAAACAGACTGAGACAGAAAAGGGGGGTGGGAAAGAGGCAAAAGGAAGACAGTTACAAATAAAACAAACACCAAGAAGGCCTGAAGTCAGAGCCCAAGCCCATGAAAGCCAGTGGGGCCATTCCACTGCTCTCTGGAAGCTTTGGACCAGGCCTTGTATAACGGGCAAACCAGGGCTGGCTTTTCAAGACCAGCTCTCATAGTCGGGTACAGGAAATAAATAAACACCTGTGCAAGTTGGTGCTTGCTGATGTGGGATGAAGCTCAGGTATAGAGGGAGAGAACCTGGAGCTCAGTTCAATTCCTATGAACTGAACTTGAAGAAAGCAAGCAAGCAAGCAAGCAAGCAGCTTTCTTTGATGGCCACCCTCTTTTCTTGAGCAGCCAGAAGCACTGGGTACTAGGGCAGGCACTTTCCTGTTGCCTATTACAAGTGAGCTGAGCCCTGTTCTGATGCTGCTGAGCTGTGCTCCCATTTTTTGATTTTCCTAAATGAGACTGTCCCGGGACCACCTGCATCAGGCCTGGCAAAGCCCAGCATTCACAGTGGGACCATGCCACTCTGCCCTGCCACTCCTTACTGCCAGATAAGGGTTTGGGTGCTGTCCCAGCAGCCTTGTGTTGCCTTCAAACCTTCCCTGAGACAGCTTTGGGCTGCAACAGGCTCTCCTTGTTCATTAATAAATGAGGGAATTTCAGACATCAGCGGCAACCTGCAAAGCCACAGGAAAATGGCTGGTGGAGCTGAGACTGCCTCCCTTACTAGCCCACAAATTGACTAGAAACTATGCTGCATCCTGATGCATGAGCATTTCCTATGATCACCCCAGGGAGAAATCTGGTGTGAGACACACATGTAGCACCAGAGGAGCAACGCATGAGACTGGCCGTTCGCTAGGGCAGATGTCTGTTCCAGTGCTGCCTCTGGCTGCTTCTGTGGCTAGGAAAGCATGGGTTTGTAACCGCGTTAGGGAGCACATTTCTCCCAGCCAAGAAGTACATTTAAGGAAACATCAGGGAGCAAACATAGATCATGCTGTCTACAGTACAGTCGGATCCAGATCCAGCCGGCTCTGCCTGCCACTGCTGGATCTTGCACAGGCACAGTCCACCCCAGCCACAATCACTTAGCATGGAGCAGTGGCCACTGCAGTCACCTGAAAACACCACCTGCAAAGTCATCGTTCATTAACCCTTTGTAGCCATTGCACAAGAGAGTGAGATCAAATCTGTCTGACTTACGGCTTGGCCCATGAATCTTGATGGGCTTGGTGCTGATCAGTGAATGGGAACAGTTTTGGCAGACACAATCTTTCCCACTGAACGTCACTTTGTCTCCAATGGGGAACGGCTTCCTGCAGCCAAGGAGAAGGGAGGAAAGCATGAGAAACACACACTGCCTACTCAGAACTTGTCCCAAGCTCTGAGGTAGCTTCCCAGGTCAGGCTGTCATCCTGATCCCTTCCATGGGCCTCTGCTCCTTCCTTCATGGGGCAGCCACTCAGGGTAAGAGACGCTGGCTGCAGTGGGATTAGTCCCACTGAGGAGTTGGACTGCAGAGGGAGGAGCAGCACTATCTCCTTGTCTGCTAAGGGCACAGGCTGTACCAGGGAAGTGGGGAAGGAAAAAGGAGGGCAGCAGGTCTGGGGAGAAGCAGAAAGGGCATGAGGGATGTGAAGAACCAGACGTGCAGTGTGTGTATATGCTTGGAGAGGGAAGTAGTTACAAAGCAACAGAATGATATGGGGGAGGGCAAATTATGTAGGAAGGGTCCATATGAATGTGTACAGCCAGAGAATGAACACACACACACACTTCTGCACCCAATCATTTCCACCCACCAACAGTCCCACACTTTCAGATGCACATGCCCATGCCCATGCCCAAAGACACAGTGACGTACATGCACAAACGTGCAGAAACACAAGAATGCGAATGCACTGATGTGCATGTGCAAACACAGGAGTAGAGACCACACATGCACTGACATATGCAGTCATGGTGGCCATCCCTGTTCTGCTCCTTTGCCAGGGTGGCAGGGAGCATGCCAAGCTGTGCGACAGGGTGAGCAGTGCTGCTTGGATACCAGCACACAGAGCCCAGCAGCTTTCTACCCAGAGGCAGCCAGAGACCCAGGGTAACTACCTGCCTTGAAAAGCATGGGGTGTGGCCCACACCTGGAGGGCACCTCCTTTCCATGTCCTCACAGACTGTGTGCGTGTATGCAGGAGCCCAGAAGCAGTGTCTTCTAGCTGGTTTTTCTTCAGCATATGTCAGATTCCCTTCTTCATGCTGCTAAGCCAGGCTTACTCACAGCCTGGGGCACTGGCCCCTGCCTAGTCCTGCTGCCGGTACTCCAATCCCTGGGGAGTGGTTACCCTGTGCTGGCCTTGTTTTTGATGGTTCAGGAGAGCTAGTTTCTTGTTGTCTGGATTCAGCGCCCACAGCTGTTACCAGGGGAGAATGTGAATAATGGCAAGCTCAGCTGTGACCCTTCTTTGGCACATAAATGGGTGCCTCAGTTGAAGGGATAAGGTAAGACAGACCCCATTTGGATTCATGCTGTGTCCAGGCCCCACCACAAAATAAAACATCGAGGTCCTGCTGGTTTCAATAAATGGTGAGTCTGAGGGGTCCTCAGCCTGTGTTCTTAGAAAGGCGCCTGTGTCCCAGCCCCCTCACCCCCTTCAGAGCACCTCTGCCAAAGGAGGCCCAGAGTTGAAAGAGCTGTGGGTGGGCTGCAGATCAACCCTGCAGCTGGGCTGTGGCTGGGGTCCCCGAACGGGGAGAGCAGGGGTAGAGGCATATGAGTCAGGAAGGAATAAGACCAAGAGGATATCTGAGTGGCTGGTTCCATCCACTCTGCTCATTAGTAATCCCTTAATTAACTCACATCATTTTGAATGGCAAAATAATAGAGCTGTCCCCTCCAGCATTACTCAGAGATGTGCTGGTGGATCCGAGAGTTCATCCCAAGCAGACAGATCGTCGTGACACTAGTAACCCTTGAACTTCTGGTCTAACAGCTCCCCGTGTTCACACTAGCCACCAGTGACTCAGCATGTGACATTTACCCCATCCACCATTAGCCCTCCTTGTTTCCATTGTGCTCTTCATCCAGCTGATGTGCCTGAGCACTAAATCACAGCCACTGTGAACAGGGAATACTGCGGCAAGTCAGCTCACTCCCTCCCACACACAGGCTGGCTCCCAAAAACCCAGGGTTGTAAAAATCTTAGCATCCTGTCTACTCAGGAGCAGGCTTTCCCTGCTCATTTTCCTCCCTGTCTCTCACAAACACATTTATGTGCAACATCTCTGAGCATGAGGGTCTGGATAAGCTTCTCCCACACAAGATGCCCTGCATCTCACCCTGAGCTGCACCCCTCAGCTGCTCCATTCTGCCCCCCCCCCCGATCTGTTTGTGCCCCCCACTCTCGTCCTGCA